GAGGGGCCCTCTGCTGCGCTTAATCTTCAGTCAACAGTGCAACTCTGGGACTCTCTGGGTCCCCCCCCCAGTGCCCACCTCTTGGACTCCCTCACTCCCCTGGCCCAGAAGCAGACAAAGCCAAAAGGAGGACGGGATATTCCCAGCGTAAATAAACGCGGAGATAAGAAGGTAAGGAGGCCAGAAGGAGGGGCCCCTGATTTAAGCTACCAATAGGAAAAGCGCATTTTTCTGAGCTAACCACAAAAGTTCAGAAGTTGCCCTAGACACGGTAAATCTTTTAGTGTCTTCGAAAGTCATTTTCTGTCCCAGACATTCGCCCCTCTGGCTGTGGCAAAGAGAAAGGGACCAGCGACCCGTGAAGTGTCAGGAATGCATCCCAGGCAGCCCCAGCGAAGTTGCAGGGCAGCTATTGTGCTTCCTGAAGTTCAAAGGAAAGACCTTCCACCACGCTTGGGGGCGGCTGGGGTCCAGCGTGGGTGGAGGGTTCGGAAGCCCGGGGACCAGCAGAGCCCCTTGCGCATGCCAGTCCCTGCCACTATCCCCCCACCGGGGGCCACTGCACGAGCAAACATTGACTCTAGCAGAGAGAGCAGACTGAAAGATTGGGGGGTGGAGGGCGGGGCAGGGGAGCAGAAAAAGGGAAAATATATAAAGAAATAAGATAAAAGGCCTGTCTTAAAGGAGTCAAGGCTTTGCGCTGAGAGTCTCGAGCCCAGTGCGTCTTTGGGACCCGGCCAGGGGCGAGGGGCCGAGATATTTACATTTCTCCTGGCTGGCTAACGGAGCGCTGGGGGAGGGGGCGGCAGAGGCTGGGAAAGAAAGAGAAAGAAAACAAACTGTGTTCGCCATTAAATATTCATGACAGCAGCTTTGCTGAGGCTAATGGAAAGCATATAAATCCCTTTACAACTGTGTTAAATGCAAAAAAAAAAAAAAAAAAAGATGGATGAGGGTCACAGCATGCTCTGGGGCAAATTGGGAGGACTATGAAAAAACCTGGACCACAGGAGGCTGGGATTTCAGGGAGGGGGGAGCTGGCTGCGGGTTTTATTCAGATCCATTCCAGGAGCCTGGATACCGGGCCCATTCATTCCCAACCACTGCAATCAAACACCACCCGTAAGGGGCATTATTTCTCCTAAAAGTTGTTCCCTTCCCGCCCCACCCCCAAATCTAATGGCATGGTTAACATTTGACAGATGTTACTGTTTTAAGTCATGCCTAAACTCAGCTCCAAAACTTTGAAACAGACCATCTATCTTCAAATTCTTGAAACAGATAATCTATCGGGACTAAGGAAACGGACATCCAGTAATCTTTGCTCTGGGGTATCTTCCCAGTGGCCTCTGCAAGATAACCTTTGGAAAAGGCCTGGACCTTAGGCTCTGAGACACCCTGTGTGTGACAGAGGACACGCGGCCAGGGCATCTGACAGCCTACTTGTCTTGATCCAGACCTTCACTTTCAGGAACCTTGGTTGTGATGTGTCACCATATCTCACACTTCGGTTGTGCATTTAAAGGGGGGGTTTGACCTCTTATCTTCAGGGGGCCTGAGGAGGTAGCACACACTGGTAGGCACGTCTGCAGTGAGGGGAGCTGTCTACCAACCGATGCTACTGAGGACGCCAGTTTCTCATTTAAACACAGAAACACACTCCTTTGGAACAAGGAGTCATTATTTGTACTGCACAAGTAACTTTACACTTTACAAATAACTTTACAAAAGAGAACACAAAAAAACACCCAGGTTATGCATGAAGTTGGGGGTGGATTTGTGCTCACCATGGTCATAGGGGAAGTGTGTCCCTGAACACATAAAACAATCCCAAAAGAGCCTCCCAGAGAGGTACCAGTGGATAAGGGAAGAATGGCAGGACCTCAACACAGCGTGGCTGCTTTGAAATGGAAATGTAGGGAACCCTCTCAGATAAGGTTTCAGGAATAAATTCCACTTTCCCTTTACATGTCTCTCCTAAGAGGGACAGGCAGAGGTGGTCCACTGAGTTTTGAACAATGTCCACTGTATTCATTTTGTGCTTTCATTCCAGAGAATGTAGAGGTGATTGATTAGCTGCTTTGAGTGAAATTTAACAAATGTAAACAGGAAGTCAAGTTTCCAATGTGCCTCTGTTTGTCTCATGGTCTTTGTATGAGCTTTCACGGTCACTCAGTGGTTATCCTGTGACTGTGACTGCCTGGGCCCCTCTCCCCACAGTGCCCCTTCCATCTCCGAAATCCATGACTCACCCTCACGCCTTGTAGACTCATAAGGGACCATGGCGCGAAGTAAGTGCTCAATAAACGTGAGCTGTTCCTATAAAGTGTCCGTGGCATGTAAGTTTGATGGAATTCTTACATATTTATTATGTATCGTGTCTTCTTTTTTTTTATTCTCACCTGAGGGCATGCTTATTGATTTGAGAGGGAGGAGCAGGGAGGGAGAGGAGGAGGAAAAGGAACATCAATGTGAGAGAAAAACATGGATCAGTTGCCTCCCACACCGGCTTGACTGCGGATGGAACCTCATTCCAGGCAGGTGCCCTGACCTACAATCGAACCCATGACCTTTCCTTTTCTGTAAGGGATGGCGCTCCAGCCAAATGAGCCACACGGACCAGGGCATGTACGGTGTTGATGACCTTTGGGGCATGCTTGAGATTCCTCCCCCCTCCCCTGCCCGTAATGATCTTGACCTAGGAAGACTTATTATTAAAAGTGAAACGTTAACAATCTAGTCAATGCCCCTCATTCTTCAACAGATAAATAGTAAATTATATAAAGAAAGGAGAAGTTGTAGAGTCAAAGTGATGTAGATGACACAGCAAATGTTGTTTTAAAGAAGGGGCAAGACAATGTCATGGTGCCCAGGGAGGCATGCCTGGGTGTGAAAACTATAAATACATGCAAAATATGATTACTATTAAAAGTAGTCTACAAATACATTGCCAGCAGTACAGAGAATGAACGCTCAACTTACGCCAGAGGCCTTTTAGTATTTAAAAATGTTCTCTCTGATTTTTTTTAAGACACCACACATCAAATCGGATTATAGGTTGTAGGTACAGATTTTAATTATAGCTAACGTGAACGTGCTTTTAATAAAAATATAAGCAATACTTTCTGAAGTCTGGACCCAGCAGGAATACCAGGTGGAAAGGCAGTTCTATTCTTCTTTTTTAATTGTGAAAATGAAGGGGGGATAAAGAAATAAAGGTGAGGAGTGGTAGCCTCTGGTTGCAACACACATCACATAATGCCGTGTGGGAAAGATTTAAATCACTGTTCTTCACAAATAGGAAAATACTGAGTAATGGATGAGTTTAGTTTTTAAAAAGTAGAAAGAGGAAAACCAAGCATGATTCATCCCCATACGCACAGGAAAATAACAACTCTTTGGGGAAGGACAAACTGACACGGAGATCAGACTTTGCAAACACAAAGAACAGCCGAACTGGATTGATTCAGGGCAATATTAAGAATCTACTATGTGCAAAAATTTCCTTCCAAAACAGCAGTGAAGATTTTACATTTCATAAAAAGAGAAGTTACGGTACTGTAAAAGCACACATTTACTAATTCATGCTTTTGCTCTAAAGTTGTCATATAGTATTTTTAAAAAGTTACATATACTATATAAGAACATGTCCCTGGACATTTTTCATGGGTATAATTAACACAATTAAATATACTGGAGAATCGGAGGAACTTCAAGTCAGAAAAGGAAAAACTTCCACCAAATCCAATTTCACATAGGAAAAATCACTTTAAGGGCATTAAAAGGGATATATAGAAAGAGTTGACCCCCCCATCTTTTAAAAAAATCAACTACAGTCCAAATAACCTGAAAAAATAAAAGATACTAATGTGTCCACAAGTTAGTCAGATGCCAACTTCCCTCTGTGCCTTAAGAATACTAATACCTTGATTAAAACTTTTTTTGTAAAGCACAGAATTCCTTTTGATATCAAAAACACAGAACGTTCAAAGGTCAGTCTGCCACTCATCACTCTGACTCCTCAAACACCTGAAGAGGAACCTCACTGCTGAACTTGCTCACACAGGTACCGCCACCCCAGAGGGGGGCGGGGCTGGTCGCTGTTTCGCCCACTGGTGTCTCTGTGCTTGGCTTAAGGATTTATGCAGAAGGGTGACCAGGCCCACCTCATCACCAGGGAGAAACACTCTTTCAGATACGAAGAATCTCAGCCATTTCTTCTAACTCGTCACCGCTCCCCCTGGCATACGCATACGCACACACACACACACACACACACATACACACATTACTTTCTCAACATTCTGGAAGGCTAAAAGAATCTAGTCAAGTTGAATGGCCCCTGACTTAGTCCACATTGTATTCTATCTTGTACTTCACACCCTCCAAAAATTGAAAAAGAAAAGCATAAGCCACATTGGGGGTGCGGGGTCGGGGGGGCGCACAGCAAGATTTATTTGGAAATAAAAATTACTTCAGTAGAAAAGAAGAATAGAAGTGGCCGATTATATAAAAATGGTTTCACTTACCCCAGGTTACCAGGACATATAAAGTCAGGGGAGCCAGGTTTGGGCAGAAAGTGGTTCATTCATTTATTCAATGAGCATTGACTACTGACCGCCTCCAGGCAGGCTACTTGGAACTGGGTGAAAAGACAAAAGTAGTCCCTGTCCCCAGGAGCTCACAGTGTGACACACAAAAGAGACCCCTAAATAGATGATAGTAATTTGATTATAACTCTGCACCACAGGGGCCAAGAGAAGCATCAGCAGGGTGCTGTGGAATCCCAGTAGGATGGACCGAGGAAAGGTGAGAAGCACTTTCTCAAAGGTAGTGCTACAGCTGAATGGTTTTTTCAAAATACATTTTATTGTTCATGCTATTACAGTTGTCCCCATTTTTCCCACTTTGCCCTCCTCCACCCAGCACCGCCCCCCCACTCCCTCAGGCAATCCCCACACCACTGTCCATGCCCAAGGGTCACACCTGTAGGTTCGTTGGCTACTCCCTTCACCTCCCTCCTTTCATCCAGTCCCCACCTCCGCCCTCCCCTCCTGCAGCTGTCAGTCTGTTCCAAGTTTCTGTGCCTCTGTTGACTCTTGAAAGAGATCAAAGGAAGCGAACACTTAGGTGGAGGTGAAGCTAATGGCAGTTGATGTGCCAGCAGGAGAAACAGCAGAGACAATGATTCGAAGGGGAAAGGTGAATATTCCAGAGAGATCTCAGTCCCGAGAGCAGTGCAGACAGCTGCGAGGAGAGGACGCTTCCACCCGGTCAGGTCATCTGTGCACTTCCCGGATGTCCAGCTGACTCCGCCCCTTGCCTGTTATCAGTGAGAACTCTGTGCCGTCCCAAATTCGGATCCAACAACTGTTTCCTTGAAGTACAAGACATGTCATCGATTTCTAAAGCACTCAACTTCTTCTGTTGTCTAACGCCGTTTTTACATTCTGTGCCCGTCTGGAAGCTCACAGATGAATTAAAAAAATAATCACCTCTCCTTTCACTTCCCCGTAAATTGGATCTTGCCACCAGCAAAACACACGGAAGCTCCCGTAAAGAAAGTCTGATGGAGACCGAAAAGTTCAGTCTTGGAGGGAGATTGGTTTTAATCAAATACTTGCCCTTTCTCTATCACTTAGAGTTTAAATGGTGTTCCGCAGGCCGCAGGCATAATGGAAAAGTATGATTTCTTCTCTGAAGGTGGCTCTTTTAAAATTCAGACAATGACAATGCCTGCAAAGTCGCAGGAGTTTCTGCCACCAGAGAACCTCAGTAATACAGAGACCTTAAACCTGCATTCTGAAATACGTAATAATCGCACATCATATACCACAGCAGAGGGTGGGGAAGGTGCTGAGGCCAAGTGTAAAAGTTCACATGCTCCCAGGACGTGTGTAATGCCCAGGAAATGAGACAGAATTAACAGTGCATCTTCCTTTACAAACTGCACAGCAACTGTGTACCACTGTGACGGAGGCAGGAGGGGGACAGACCCTGGTCCAGTGGGAGGTCATAAGATCTGGATTCTAATTCTGGCCCTTTCACTAATTAACACATCATCTCTCTGGGTCTCAGCTTCCTCACAGTCTAACCCTTCAGTAAACTGATAAGATCACCAAGTGTTTTCGGTCCTAAAATTAAATTGACAATAAAAACTAGTTAATAGTTAGAGGAGTACTTTCTCTTACCTCATGCACTGTGCTAAATCCTTTCCATTCCACATCTTACTTAAGCTCACAGAGCAACTACAGTAAAATATATACTGGGAACCCCGCTTACTGGTGAGGAAATGGGGACTTAGACAAGTGACACAAAAAAAGGTGCCAGGACAGAGTTTCCACTAAACCACCAGCAACACTGTTTGACATCAAGCACACTTGACCCTCAAGCCTTGACATTCTCACTGAGTCACACAGGTAATCAGATTCCAAGTGATTTGTGCAACACACTGTTTCCCTAAAAAAGAAACACATTTTTTATACTTTTTCGGCACAAGATTGCCAAATGCGAATTCAGTTTCCTTTCGGAATAAAAATATCCTAACCCACAATTTTCCATTCTGTGTTATCTCCAATCGGATGCATTTCTACACAGGTATCTGCTATGAAGTCAGCCGTGCTTTGGGATGCAATACCAGATCTCCCCCTAGGATGGCCCATTTTCATTCTCCACGTCCACAGGCAAGAATGAGTATCTGGGGCCCTTGCTTTCCTGCAGTCTCTGCATAAGAGAACCAGCCCCTGAAGAAGGGAGTGAGGGAGCGGGCGTCAAGTCACCGCATCTCTTCCCTGGCCGTCTTCCTGGTCTTTGCAACTCTGCTTTCATCCCTGAAAACACTCACTCCCAGGAGGACAAAGACAGAAAGGGGCTTAGAAAGAAATCGCCACTGTCATTTAATGAGATGATGCTGGTGTGTCTTTAACAGCCTCATTTAATTGTACCTTCCTATTTTCTGCAGAAGTTCCCCTACCACTAATGTACGAACAATCTCTCACCCTCCCTGGGGATCACAACTCCATCTTCTCCTCTTTCAACCCAACCTCTACCGCCCTTGCCTTCCTCTTCATGCTGTCACAAAAGCTGAGAACAAAACAAAACATGGCAGGATGTTAGCTACTTTGTGTTACTTAGGTGTATGAGATTATGGCACTTCCCTTCTGGGGAAGGAGGAGGGCAGGGGATTCTTGTTTTAAAAGAGTGTGATTAATAGCCTAAAAATGAGAGCGTGCTTATAGCCACAATCATGTGGACAAGAAATGCTACTTTTCCGTTATTTTAAAACCATGACATCATCAAGTCCATTACAGAGAACTGACAGCTACCTATGACCTCAAAGCAAGGCAAGTGGCTGGCCTTTCCCACCCGAAGACAGCATGCCAGGCCAAAAATAGGAAAATGTATTAAAAATAGGAGATGTCTCAACTGAGACCTGTTGTGCCCACAGTGCTGTGTTTATTTCTAAACCTTCATACCACGCACTGAAACACAATGCAAAATGGAAAATTCTCCTGTGGAAAAGTCACACCATTGTCCTACGAAGCATTGTTCTTCACACCTGGAAAAAAAATGTGTTTCTAAAACCAGACACCAAGAGAGGACATCTCACAATTACAACTGGAAACCTTCTGACTTGATTATTTGGAAAATTCTAAATTTGTTTTCCATAAGATCTGTCTGCTCTTTCTCAATCATACCAATGTGAACAAAACTCTCCAGAAATAAAACCATTATAAAGTCACAGTTAAGATCAAGTATGTCAAAACAAGGATATTTTACCAGATGCCTACAGTTTTGTTTTGTTTCATTTTTTTTTTTAGCAATAAGGGGATGGGCTAATTTAAGAAAATGTGGGTGTCAATATTCCCTACCACAAAAAAGTTCCAAATGTACAGATAATGCAACCCAAAACAACATCACTGGCTAAACGTGATTAATGCTGAGCTGACCACATTTGTAAAAATCCAACTTCAAATAACTGTCTCACACGACGCCCCTATCTACCTCACCAACTGTTTCTTTGCTGGTCTCCCCAACTTTATGTGTTCCCCTCATTTATTCCAAAGTTCTTCTGAAATTGAAAACAGAAAAGAATTAAGTTTGTGGTGAGGGAAAGAAACCTCAAGTCTGAGAACAGTGAGGCTGATGCAACTGCTTAAACTCTTCCAGTAAGTTTCTGAAGCCATTACCAAGACACCCTATGCAGTGTGGCCGAGGACTGAGGACATTTCGATGCCTCCTAAGGTGACTGACAAGCCCAGTCAACAGGAGAACGGACTAGGCTTAAGGGATGGAGAGACAGACTTTCCCCCTCAGTTTAACTGTGTAATTTGATATAATCCCTTCTCAGGGTAAAACAACACTTTTAGCTAAACTCTGAATTTGAAAAATAAGCGAGTCTGAAATTTAGAATTATGAATGAGCCTGGCACACAAAAAGCACTTAATAAATGCATATTCAATGCACGAACAAATAAATCTACAGAACGGTTCTTTTCATAGTCGAAGAACATTTATGGAGAACACTGTTCTGTTCGACACTCTCCATCTCATCCCCTCTGCTCCTACAAGCTCTCGTGAATACATACATCTTAAAATGTGGCCAGTCATGCAACAGTCATCTAGGTGTTTAATGACGCTGGCTGCCCAAGCCAGCCAGCCCGAGTCCACATTCTGAATATGAAGAATTCAAGAACTAAACCACGGCATCATGAAACAGACGAGTCTTCTGCCTCTGCCCCGGAGGAGCCCCCAGCACCTCTCTCCCAGCCTAGGGTCCTTTCAGGGGCTGCTAATACTCATTCGCATCCTGGGGTCCTCACCGCCCTGCACACAGTAAGCAGCCCAGAGGAGGTTTTTGTAAACTCAAGAATCAAGCACTAGGTTTTGCTCCTTGGGTCTCAGTAGAAAAAGGTGAGTCACTCCAGCCTGCTTAGACTTAGCTAATGCCTTCTCTCTGGCCCAGTAATCCCATGAAGCTAGACCCTGAGAAATAAACCCATAAGTTGGGGGAGAAAATCAAAGAAGTATACAAATGACTGGTCTTATCGCCCAAGCTCTCCCAGACCAACTTGAGTGGGAAAGAATAAAGATCTCCGAGCAGATCTTTGTGAGAACCTAGACCGAGGCCCTCTGATAACTTCCGGGCCTGTGGAGCAAAGCGGCACTGGGCCTTTCTGAGTGAGAATAAACACGGGGTAGGCAACAGTCAGCTTCCAGTTGCGAGTGCACAAAACACAAAGTTTATTCTTGTATCATTTATTAATTACTGTATTATCTGCCCTGGCTGGTGTGGCTCAGTGGATTGAGTGCTGGCCTGCAAACCAAAGGAACACCAGTTCAATTCCCAATCGGGGCACACGCCTGGGTTGCAGGCCAGGTCCCCAGTTAGGGGCACACGAGAGGCAACCACACAGTTATGTTTCCCTCCCCCTCTTTCTCCCTCTTTTCTCCTCTCTCTAAAATAATTATTGTATCACTTGTTTGTATTACAACTGGAAACCCACCTTGTATATGGATTCACAGAACAAAACTTGGATGTCGAGTGTATACACTATGGACACAAGGATGCTGAGGCCATAAAAATGACCTACTTGTTAAAGCCTTGGTCACTGTTCTTTCCCACGGGACCAGGGGGACAAAGGGTGAGAAAAAAAGAGTAACACCTTCGGTGCTGTGATACCATTGTCTACTGACATTTTGCTATTCAAGTCATATACCATCGCTTACCTACCAGGCAATTTTTTGAGTGTCACTAGACGCTTCATCAGAAAGGGTTTCCTTTGGATTTAAAGGGCTGCTCTTTCTTTCCTTTGGTTCTTCTTCCTTGGTATTTTTAACTGAGAGTATTTTACACTCAGAGCTAGTGGGAGACAATGCTGTTTTTGCTGTAGAAGTCACTGGGGAAAACTAATTTGCCGAATAGACACCCACTTTACCACAAACTTGAACGGAATGCACTTATTACCTACTTGGGAAAGACGAGCCCCACACCTGCATATGCGCACCTGCCCTATGTTCCTTGTGCCTGTGTGTGTGTTGGCTTCACTTAGGCAAAAAGCAGTGTTTTTACCTAAATAAAATGGGCTTTTTTGTGGCGGCACATTAAAAAAGAAAAGCTTCATCCATTCTGCATTTTCACAGCCAACAAATTCTGCGTCACTGTGTATCCTCGCTTATAATCTATTTTAAACCAACTTCAAGCACCAGGAAAATAAAAGAATAATATCCCTCAGATGAATCTGACTTGTAAATAAGGAAAGCTATTAAGTGCTTAGTGTTTTTGGTCTCTCTGTAATAAACACTATAAATAATCTCAGAATATATGGCTCATCTTGCTCTACTCAATGAGGCTGCTTCTTTTTTTGTTGTTGTTAAAAACAGCACAAGAGCTGGCATATTCTCTGCCACCCAACTATCATCTCTCAAATAAAATAAAATAATAAAATAAAAGGTGGGAGGAGTAAGGTTGTCAGTTGGCTAAGACGCATCTGAGAATTTAAGCATCCCTGCATGTGGTTAGTTAGGTATTATCTACCACTTACATGGCTAGTTATAGTAATCAATTGTCTAAAATTTTGTGAAAGCACACTGCCACATTTTTTTTCACACTTCATGGGGTGGAGAGCCTCTTCAGGTAAACCACTGTAGGAGCAAAAGCACAGAAATAATCCATCCTGAAACTGCCTTCCATCCTAAGCACCCGGCCCATAGCGACGGTGCCCAGCGACTTTCCAGTGTGGCCTTCCAGGTATAAAGGAAACGCTCGGAATCCGAAGGACTAATTGCACAGCCGCAGACTTCCTCTTTCCTTAGAGCTTTCTAATTGGGCACTTTACGTTGCCAAGTATATTCAAAAGTGATATTTCAAATAAGCACGCCAAGGGACTGCCGATCTAGAATCGGAATATTCAGCTTGCCTTTGGAACCGATGCTCTTATTTGAAGCTACTCATTGTCCAATAGATGACAACATGAAGGGGAGAACCTAGTGTCTGTGCCTCTTTCATTTGACTTGCATTCATAGTAATATAAAGGCTGCAGGATCATTGCAATGCAAAAAGATAACGTTTTAGTGTCGGAAATCTAAAATCAGGAATCAGTGCTCACACTGGATATAAATATTAGCTACACTGCTCGGTGCTTTTACTTCCTATAAGCAATTAGCTGAAGGGTAGACAAATGGGGTAACTGTTTAGGAGTTCCATTTGGGGTTAGACTGGCTTATTTCTGAAGCCTCTCTTCCCCAGTAAAACCCTGTGCTTTGATTCAAAAGAAAAGGTTTGACAGCACATACAAGACTGTGCAACACCAGACAACCACATAACACTGTCACCCTGATATACTGCGCTGCGTGATTCTGTTCCTGCTCCTTTTATCCTCTCGGCAATGGACACACAACCTCAGAGAACGAATTCACCACTTCCAGGTTCCTGCCTAGTTCAGGGCGGAGACAATAAAAACAATCTTGGGGACAGAAGCCCCAGGGATGCAGACACTGCCATGCAATCTGACAACAAACCCACCTCTGAAATTAATTTTTGTACTTCCCACATTCTAATTTTTTTTTCCTCACAGGAGAGTATACCTCCATCCCTAGAAAGGAGCCTAACCCCTAAATTAAATCCAACACGGCAATATCTTCGGGCAACATCCTTTCATCCGCTATTCATATACCAAAGCTAAAACCGCAGCTTCAGATAGTAATGAGCACAGTCTCCATAACCACCGGGCATTGGCAGAGTTCTTGAACCAAGGGGTATAGGCCTATAAACCCTATAAAAACCTATGTAAAAGTTTGAAGTGTACTTTTCTAAAAGGAGGTTTTAGAATCCATAGAGGGGACTGTGACCTGTGAAATTCAGCAACTAACAATAAAACGGTCTTACTTTAATCATAGGGAAATATCATGTAAAAAGCTATACCAATCAAACAAAATACAGAAGAGGAAATAAATATTTTCCTTCAATCAAATGTGTTTCCCTAGAAGGAATGTGATGATAAACTTCTATCATGTACACTACAACAGAAAATAAAATATTTATTTAATAAAAGATGAGCTGGATTCATGCGCGAAATTGGGAAGCTTTTGTCATGATGATTGTTATATATTAATAGGCAAAGAATTCTCTATCGTGAAATTTAAAAACCTAGTAGCAACAAGCCCATTCTCAAGCTTATAAAACAAGCCTTTACAGATAATTATGTTTTATTACTCTTCATTTTATGGAAATTGTGTTATACAAAACAAATACCAGATGCCTATTTGTTTTATTCGTTTCAGGGAGAGAAAAAAAAACCTACAAGTACCTCTGCGAATAGAACTGCTTTTAATTAAACGCAATGCACAAGGAGCACATAAAAATTAATACTGTTTGAAGCCAGCAGGTAGAAAGTGAATGTCTCAAGCAACAACTGCGTCTTTCCTCCGGCTGGCGGCTGAGAAAGAAAACACTGCTAAGCTTATTACTTGGGAGCTGAAATCAGCAAAAGACACTTGAACAAGGTCATTCATAGACTTGTTTTAATGCCAGTGTTCATGGAAATATAAAGCCTGGAGGTGAGAAAAAAAAATCACCAGGTTTTATTGGCACCTGGATGAACCCAGCCCCAGCTTTAGCCCCTCTCCTTTATGAAATCAGACCAGTCCGTGCTGACCCACTGGGTAGAGCTGTTGAGATGGAATGAAGCAGGCTCAGTTCTGCTACACGTAAAAAGTGCAAAGTGAATTCTAGCATGGTTCAGACTTTGCCCGCAGACACTTACCATAGAAGGACATTTCATACAGTGGCTCCTATCTGATTAATACACCCCTCCTCTTAAAATAAAAGAGTGGGCGGAGACAGAGAAAAGGACAAACTAAAATCTCACCATTTTTTCCAGACCCCCAAAGAAATAAATTGTATCTGCTCAACTGTCAGTTGCAATCAGAAAGTGAAAATTCAGCATGCAGCAATTTAGTCCCACAATGAGGAAAACATCAGCACCCTTCCTTTTCTTTTTCTTTGCTTTTGGTTTTTGTTTGCTTTTGATCGAATCACAGGAAGACCCACTCTCCAGCCTGGTCAGACTTGGATATCATCTTGCTCATTATGATTTGTACTCACTAGAGCCAAGACAGAAAATAAACATTGTGAAAGCACCATGTGAAATAAGGTGAGAGCCTGCAACTGTATCTGGCAACCAACTTTCCAGGAAGACTGTCAACAAACCTTTTCCAGATCACCTCCTTAAGGGGTCACACCCCAGCTTACACTGTTTGCAATTCCAAGTCTCAGAGTAGCCCTGCTTCAGGGAAAGCTTCCATTTTATTGCTTTACACAAAACTAATAGTCTCTTTGGCTCGTGCGTGGACTTTGGTCTTTGGGCTAAATGGAAACAAAAATACACTGTGTATTAATTTTATATTTAAAAAAAAACATTAAAATCCTAAGGATTTTTCAGCTTTAAGGTACATTTTTAAACAGGGTTGGGCAACTGAGAAAATAAAGCACTTAAACTACACACCCTCCCCCCCCCAAAAAAAAACCCTCATTTTGCTAAAATAAATATTTAGGGTACTCCTTGTTCTCAGACCAAGAATCGGGGGTGAACATACAGAGAGACTGTGATCGACTGTGATCGGAATCGAATGCCCCATTTCACACTCTGTTACAATCTAACCAAATGATGGTTTTCACAAGCTCACAGCTGTTAAAATCAGGGAGAGGTGTATGTACTGACATGGAACAAAGCTTAATAATTAAGTAATTGAAAAAGGAAATTACAAAAGGAGATCAACATATATAAAATGATGCTATTTCCAAGAAAATAAATGTTACGTGCCCAGAAAAAAAAAAAGAGACTTAACACTCAACTGTTAAAGATAGTCAATGGGAAACATAAGTAACTTTCACTTTCTGTAATGTTTGAACTTTGAACAAGGCTTAAGTATTAACTTATGCAACCTGCAATCTGGATTTTAAAAAAATAATGTTTGTCTTTCTTTCACAACACTTACCAGATTGTGGTTTATGCTGTAACCCTTGGGTGGCTCTATCTCAGATGTTAAACGTAAAATCGCGCTTCTGGCCTGAGAACCCTCATGCGCCAGGGCATCGCCACTCCAAGGGCAGTCGGAGGGCCCGACGTAGGACCAGGCAGAGTCAGGAGGCAGGAAGAGTGTGAGTGAATGTCTGTGGGTTTCACGCGCGTGCGCACCTGCACAAGCACGAGCCTTCACAGGAGGAAGGGAGGCTACTGAAAAAAGAGTAACTAAAAGGAAGCAGAGAGTAGGATGGGGTGACTCAGACTAGAGGGAGGGCTTTGAGAGGGAGCCCCCCAGCCCCCCTTCCCGCCCCTCGCAGCCACAACAAGCCTCTGGTGGCCCTGCAAAGGAGGTGTGGGAAATCGTCCTCGGAGTGGTAGTGGGAGGTGCCAGGTGCTGCTCTGCGGAGAAGTGTCAGTCACAGGCCTGCAGGAAACAAGCAAGTGGCAGAGGGATGAGCCCGGGGTTGAAAGCCGCACATCCCCGGCGGATGAGGCCACAGAACTGTATGCCCTGTGTACGTCACGGGGTTACGGTCCGAAACAGCTGACGGTGCCACGCGTGGCTGGCTGAGCACGGCATGCCAGCGCCCCATTGAGGGGCTGGTCCCAGCGGCAGTCGGTCCCTTCCTTGCGGGGGCAGATGAAGGACCAAAGGAATGAACAAAGGGTTCTCGGATTGTGCAGATGCCTCGGGAGCTCCACCCTGATTCTCCTCAATGACTCCACTCATCCAGCCTGCGCCCCAGAAGGAAGCCAGATACTCCCCGTGGCCAGGACTTCAGCCCCATCCTAGACAACAGGGCAGTTCAAGTTCCATAAAGCAGGCTTGTAGGGATATCACAGAGGTAGGGCCAGGAACCTACTAGTAGCAGAATGACAAAGGTGCCAGTCACTTCAAAGCTGCCAGACATCATCTAATTTTGATGACTCTCTAACTCTACCCTACTATGCTGAACCTGAAGGAGTGGTGTGTTGGTGTGTGTCAGGGGAGGTCCTTCTAAACTTTTTTGTATTCTTATTTTTCTATTCAGCATGCCCTTTGGACTGTTTACTCTGAACAAAATTAAATAACTCCGATAATTTAATTCCAAAAGTCTTTCTGCACTAGCAGGCCACTATGACTAAAGACACTCCTTTAACAAGTACTTCGTAAGAATCTACTATCTACTCCTTGTGCTAACACCTGGGGCACCAGCAAAAAATACACAGAGAGACAAGACTTACTGATTTGTGTCCAAGTAGGATATAAAGTGTGAGACATCCCCAAAACTTTGTGATTAAAAGATATTTGGAGGCCAATGGCCGAGAGAAAAAACCTATCAGGAGCATTTTCCCACAATGAAAGAAGGTGTTGTCTACTTTGTCCCCAAATATTTTTTGTCTGGCTCCTTGGACCTATACTTGAAAAAGACCATACTAAAAAAAAAAGAAACTCAAGAATATGCTCCCACCTACTTTGGTTCTAGAATGTCTAGGTTACAGAAAGAACCTAGTCGATGGGGTCATCGACTACAGCAACATTTTACCAAGTACCCATCGAGCACACTGTGATGGTTGGGGGAGGGGTGGGGGGGCAGGGGCACTCTGACATCCAGAGAATACACTAGTTTTACTCAGGAAGGTGTACAAATTTAGAGAGAGGACAACTAAGTAATTATAGTGCAAAGTAGAATGATCTACGGGTTGAAACTGCCCCCAGTCTAAATTCCAGAACTTCCCCAAGCCCTGGCTGACCCCAGGCCCTGGCTGACAGGACATAAGAGGGACCCTCACTCAGAGCCTGCATGCCCAGGACCCTAAAATTACACAGGGTGAGACAAGAGACAGAGAGGAAAACTTCAGAGTCCTTCTAAGAATGTTGGAACGGAACCCTTCCATTACCATCTCATCTGGACAGTGTGGACAGAGAAATGTTTACTCAAGGCTCCGCTGATGAGGCTGGTGATAACTGGGGAATGCCCTGGGCTGAAGGAAAAGCCAAATGGCCTGCTGATTTATGCTCTTCTATCTGAAAAATCACTGGACCATTTTTATACCCCCAAGGGGAACTCAAATGACAGGCTTCAAATGACAGGTCTTACACCAAGTCCTGGACAGCAGCACACTGAGAAAGCTGCCAAGCCGCCACAATACTTGGGAATTCCAAAAGCGAATTTCTTAGACTTTCAGAAACCTGTCCAAAAATCCAATTAATTCACCTCATCTAATTAAATGAGTTAATTGGAAATACAATATGGTATTTTTATCTCACTCTTATATGAATTTACAAGTCGGCTTACTGGGAGAAAGGGCTATTTTTATTTTGAGAAGAGATAAGAGGACTTTGGAACAAGGAGAGGGGGGACCAAAAAAGGGAAAAAAAAAAAGTACTGCTTTTAAAAATAGCACCTTCATTCTCGGTAGAAAATAATATCCAACACTCACCCAGTAATGTTCCCAGAAAAAAAATATTTGGACTTTGACTATTTGACTCCATGTGCAATTACAGGCCTTTAGTCACTACTGAGCACAAAATATACGCCTGCTTCTTTTCTAGAGAAAAGAAATATCCAATTTGAAAGGAGCCCCAGAAAATTTCAGTTTACTTCTATTTAGTGAACCACTGATTAGAGTCCCTTTTTCCAAAGCTGCTGTTAGAGAACACTTGATATCGATTCTGTGTTTTACAGCAAGAACACACATCTGTTGTAACCTTTTTTTAATGTGGTGGCGTTCCGAGGGACGGGGCCCGACCTGCGGCATATCCTGACCACAGCGAGCCAGGCCTGCTACAGGGTGGGACCTCGTGGGGACCAGGTCCCGTCTGGATGTAGGAGCAGACACAGTATGACAGGAAAGCTCCTACGACGTGTTTTCTCGCCACTGCAGCTGTGGCTCTTGGCGGAAAGGATGAAAATGTCAGTTCTATTGTGTCTGGACCCCACCCTGGACCTTCAAAACACAGGCTGCATTTCCTCCCTGACGGTCACGCTGCCTGCTGTCCGAAGTTCACCACCAAGGCCAGGCCCACACTGCTTACAGCTAAGAAGCAGACACGGTACAGGGGCCCAGGTCCCACTGCTGCAGAGAATGCCGCCCCAAAGGGAAAGTCGTCAGTCGTTAATAGCAAGGAAAGTATGGAAAGTAGAAAGCGGTCCCCTGTTAGCGCCTCCTGGTTTGCTAAGAGCCCCACCGTGATGGGGTCACACAGACTGACTGCTGGAATGGCTGCAGGAGAAAAAACACTTTTCTCTTCCTGTCTCAGGCAGGTTGATCTCAGAAAGTCATTTCAGGTGATCCCCCAGCACATCTGCCACCTTTTAAAAAGCATTTGCAAGAGGCAGGAACAAGAAGATGCAAGTGATTGCTCGGCTTCACAGAACTGGTGGGATACATAATACTTTTGTAAAAGGAGAAAGAATTTTTTTTTATTAAGACACAAAGTCATAATAATGATGTGGACCTTTGGTTGAACAATTTATGGGAAATGAAAATCTACTGCATTTTGGCAACAGTTACCACAGGTGGTTGGAGTGCTGGGCACTTGCCAAACCACCTTGAGCTTCTATATGACTGGCAAGCTACCGTATCACACTGCACATTGCAGTTCTAATGAGCTGTAAACAGACAGGTCGAATGAAAGAAATGAAATGAAAACAATGATAAACACACACGAATGGTGAAGTCTGCAGTCGACGGGTCTATCGTGATGTAATGGGGCAGATCAATGACAGCAACCATGGTTATTTACTGAGTGCTTACTACGTATCCAGCACTGTTCTAAGCATATTGTGTGTAATATTACTCATTTAAGCCTCACAGTAACAACCCTCTCAAGGAGGAGTTATTACCCCCACTTTACAAGCAACGGAAGCAGAGAAGGAAGTTGCCCAAGGACTCATGGCTAAGGGAAGAGCTACCACTGGAAGCTGACCCCGGTGCTCCAACGCCCTGTGCGGTGCCCCCGTGCTGTCCAGGGCCATGTCACTTCGGGCAGGGTGCCCGACTTTCCTGGGTCTCGGTTCCCTTATCTCCAGAATGCGAGGGTTACCCTAGATCTTTAGGGTCACTTCTGTGACCTTGTCACTATTCTCTCCAGACAACACTGACATCCTGAGAGGACAGGTATCATGCCCGCCTCCTCAGACAAACATACGACAGACATACAGACATACACTGTATGTACATACCTGAGAGGCTCCGTCGGTAATTAGCCTGTCTGTCTCTGTACAAGAAACTCAGAGAAGGAAAACTGAGTTCTAAAGAGGCTCGAACAGTCACCAAAACACCCTACAACACTTACTTCATACTTTGAGTTTTTTAAAGATTTGTTTATTTTTACAGAGAGGGGAATGGAGGGAGAAAGAGGAGGAGAGAAACATCGATGCGAGAGAAGCATTAATGGGTTGCCTCTCACACACACCCCCCGAACCAGGGACCAAACCCACAACCCAGGCACGTGCCCTAACTGGGAATCGAACCAGCGACCTTGTGCTTTGCTGGACATTGCCCAACCAACTGAGCCACACTGGTCAGGGCCAAACTTTGAATTTAAGGCTGCTTGTCTCTTAGGTTACTTTTACAGAAACCTAAGATTTATTCTGACATTACTTATTATAGCCAAGACATGGAAACAATTATTCATCAATGAATGAGCGGATGAAGAAAATGTGATATATATGTGAAATGTATACAAACACATAATGGAACATTGTTTAGCTTTAACAAAGAAGGGAACCCTACTATCTGCAACAATATAGAGGAACCTTGAGGGAATTACACTCGGTGAAGTAAGTCAGAGCAGGACAAATACTGTATGATCTCATGTACATGTGGATTCTCAGAAAAACTGACGTCACAAGAACAGACCGGCGGCTGCCAGAGGCAGGGGGCGGAGGGCTGGGCACAGCAAGTGAGGGGGTCAGAAGGGCCAAACCGCCACTTAGACGGTGACTGAGTTCTCCGATGTGACGCGCAGCCTGGCGACTATGGGCACGCGCTCCCTAACAGGTTTTCGGTCAACAGTGGACCACACATGACAGTGGAAGAGTAAGATTATGATGGAGCCGAAAACTCCCTGCCATCCAGGGAGGTCACGGCCATCGTGACATCAAAGCTCAGCACCGGACTCACGTGTCTGTGGTGATGTCGGTGGGAACAACCTACCGCACTGCCAGTTGTACAAAAGTGTAGCACACACAATCACGTGACTATGCATTCACTCCACTGCACTTTTCAGTGTTATTTTAAAGTGCACTGTTTCTAACAAAAGAAGTAAAACTACGCCGTGCTGCACCGGCAACAGCCTCGCGCATCTCATCTACCTCGTCTCTCGGTTGCATCATCTTCTCACGAGTGTCTGATTCGATCCCGTGTCATTTTGTACAGTGACATGCAGTACGGGCTTGTGGCCTGGGCGCTGGACCACACAGGCGTGCGGCAGGCTGTAGCATCCAGGCGTGTGTGAGTGCTTTGGACCACGTGTGCACAAGACGAAATCCCCCGATGACGCAATTCTCAGGGTGACGCCAGTCACTGAGCGCCACGTGGCTATTTAGATAACAACACTGCCCTGTGCATTTGAATGCTGTTCAGAGAGCAGATCCTAAAAATTCCCATCACAAGGAAAAACTTGTAACTGTGTGAGGTAACAGATGTTAACTAAACATGTTGTGGTAATCACTTTGCAATACACACAAACACCAAATCATTACGTTGTACACCCAAAACTAATACAATGTTATGTTAATGAGACCAATAAAAAGGGATTCGCTTTGACAGTTCATCTTTTTTGTCCTCATTTATCCTACTTGGGTTACGTAGTCATGGCTAAGTCTAAAAGAAGCACAGGAAAAATACTACTTTGCCATTTAACTGTACTAAACATTCAGGTACTTAAATTTTATCTTTACATAAAATACTGTTCAATTTTTTTTAAATGTATAACTCTACAATCTAAATACAGAAAATATTATACATTTCCACTCTTTGAATCAATAAAAGACTGACTGCCCTACACTTACAGGTTTGCAACATTACACCTGCCAACTTAAAAATGCAGTTATCATAAAAAGGTGTTGCTTAAAGGCGGCTTTTTTAATGCACTGTGAATTTTAAAGGAGCACGCAGCATATAAGACATGGTGTTTTCAGGAAAATTTATTCTCTGCCGCTCCGAGAAGCAAAAGCATTTTGGTATTAGCTCCCCTCTGATTAGATTCTCACATTGGTTCAGATACACAGACCTAGAATCATTTGGGAAAATGACCTTACCAAGCTTTGTGAAAACATAAAGCGTAATTCATACTTAATCAAGTGTCATATGATTGCACCAAATCCAAACCCATTTTCAAGACCCGCTAAGAAGCCAGGTCATTGTGATACGACGCAGCCTCCATTTTTACCTACGCACCTTGGGTACTTTCGTGCCAATATCCCAGACAATTCCACAAGCCAACACACAAGCCAGGAGGTTTTAAACGCAGGCAATGGAAGGCTGTGGGAGAAAGAACCCTACACCTTCCCTCTGCTTTTTCTTCCCCTTTGCTGTTTAATTAAATGGTAAATCTCAATATGAATTCATTAGAAGACTGACAGCTCAATTAAGCACTATGTTACTATATACTCTGGGGCAATGCTTCAATATCAGTTAACAGAGTTTGGATGTAACCTGAGCAAAAAAATGTAAGCCAGACGTTATATTCAACCAACTGTTTGGGAGAAAAATTGCAATTAAGGAGGGACAAAAAGTCCCAATATCTACAGACTGTTGAAATTAAATGATAAAAAGACCATAACGGTTTCCCCTATAGCAATAAATTCTTTAGATTCGTACTATGTAGCAAACCCCCTCAAGTTCACTTTAATTTAGGTTCACTGATATTTATATCCAACAGGCCAGTAAAAAAAAAGAAAAAGAAAGAAAGGAACTACCTTGGGGTGGGGGGGGGGGGGAGTTGACTGGAAGAAATATCCCACTTGGAGAAAATAAGAAACTCTGGGTGAATCAGCAGATGATCCAAAAGAACTTGGAGGATGCAGGGAAGGCCTGTGCTATAAACCAAAGAAAGTACCATCTACAGAAACCATCCTTTGGATACATATTCAACAGTGCTAATATTTCCATTGGTTACATAAATGTAACTTGTTTCATTTAGCCAACAAAAACTGGGTGGCCTCCCACGGCGCTGATCCCTGAAGATACAACAGTAAGTGAGCTCAATGCCACTTCCCAGTGAGGCCTTTCTTCCCCTCCATAAACTGCAAAACCCTCTCCCCAAGTCCCCTGGAAGGCTCTCTAAAAACCTGGATTTTCACCCCTAGGGAGTCTGATCAGCCAGGGGTGGGGCCCAGGCCCCATTT